TTTTTTTTTCTCCCCCCCTATCAGGACTATTTTAAACTTGTGTTTTCTTTATTATAAAAAGGAATGAAGACTATAAAATTCACAATAGCAGCAGCTAACATTTACACAGTGTTTAGGAACGAGTCAAACTGCTACACAGATGTTAGCGCAATTAATCTCACAACTCATTGAGGTAGGTATAACTATTATCTTCATTTTATGTATGAGAAAACCAATACCCACAGGTTCAACAACTTGAACAAAGTATTGAAGAAATGGCATTTGAATCCAGAAATTCTGGTTCCAATGCCTGAACCAAAATGCCATTACACTACACCATCTAAGAATTTTCATTTATAAAGTAAATGCTGATGGTGATCAACCTATATCACTTTGGGATCTTAAGTTCACTCTATGAATTATCAAGACATATTCATAAATTATAATTAATGGTTTAAAATCACTGATATTTTCCAACCAAGTTACTTTATCTCAATTTTACCTGTTACTGTTGCCATTCATTGTCTCTCTCTATAATCCCTACGATACTAAACTAAAAAATTCACTGCCATTGACTAGATTCTGACACATAGTGACCCTATAGGGCAGAATGAAACTGCCATTTTGGGATGTCAAGGCTGTAAATTTTTATGGATACACTACGTTACCCAGGGTCTATTGTCTCTACTATAGTTAGGGAAAAGCAAACTGAATAGTTAATTTGGGCAACTAGAAAAATCACAGAAAAGTTTAAGAGACTAATACACATATTAAACATGTTAAAATACTCAATTTCATTAGTAAGTTGCTGAATTTAAATGCAAATTCAAGCAACGATGAAAATTTTATTTCAATGTTTAAGCAGTGCCTAAGCAAAAATTTAAGAGACTTAATGGCTTTGGATATATCCTATACTGATTCACATTTCAAGAAAATTCTGGTCATTCAACTAAAATTTTCATTAGGATAAAGAGCATATTTCATTCTTTGAAATAACTGTCATATAGTAAATCCTCTTAATGAGAGAACAATTAATGAAATTCTCATTTAATACATAAAGCAATATGTACATTAAATAAATAGAAGTGAATTTCAAAAATGAATAAAAACCAACTATCCAGGTTAGTAATTTAACTATGAAATAAGTGTATTTTATGGTCTGAAATATTTGTGTTAAAAATAGTCACTGCTTTGTAGGGTGATCCACAAAAGGCAAATTTTACAGTGGAATAGAAACCCCCAACTCACCCTAATGTCCTAAATGCTGCCTGGTCCAGGTGGACAGGTCGTCTGTCACGATTAAAGCCAAGCTGAGGCTTCCACTGTCGCCCGTTGCTAGATTTTTCCCAGTCACCAGGTTTTAATACTTGTGCTGGTTTCCTGACAATTGAAAATGACAACACTGTGATTATAGAGACAAGCACAGTTCATACAAAACAAACATAGATAGTATATATTTTACAGCTGTTACCTTGCTCCTGGAAGCATTATGGCCTTAAAAATGTAATCTTCAGCAAATTGTGGGTCTTTAAAATTAATACTGAAAGAGAATAATAAGTAATTCAATAATTTTATTAACTTTACTAGTCTAGCTTAACGATCAGATTAGTTAAAGCACTTCACATACTCAAACAGAATAGCAAAACTTTTGAAAGTCTTCTCCAAGCATAATTTTAATCAATGCTTTTGCCAACTGATTATGTTCCTCACCTAATTGCAAATTCCTAGTACATTTTCTCTGTAAGAAGAGCCATGTTCCAGTTACCTTCACTGATCACAGAACAATAAAAAGCACTATCCCAATTCTTGAGAAATTTTGATGTAATAATAGTAACAAGTCAACAAAAATAAAAAGAAACAACAAAAAAACATTTCTCATTGTATTACTTCTTGTCAAGATTCTCTCCTAACATCTTAGGATGAGTTTTTGCTGTAGTGAGGAGAACATACATATACCAACTGAAACATTTGCCCAAAAAAGGGACATGAGTGGATGAGAAATCTATGGGGACAAGGAAGGAACCTCACTAAATTTCCCTAGTTGGAACCCACTGCTAATGAAACAGGCAGAATTTTAAAACCACACAACTGCCCATTCCATTCAGTGAGAATGAGTCAAACATCTATCCAGGTGGTTGTATAGATGGGTGTGTGTCTACTTCAAAACTTGGTAAGAATGCAAGTTTTCCGTATAATTCAGCAAAATCTTTGGGAACTCTAAATATGAGCTAGCTTTATACTTATGGATAGTCTCAATATCATTTTTACTAATGTTGAAACCATCAAAACTGAAGTTTATTAATAATAATTGACTGACCAATATTAAGACTTAATATTAAGACCAGTGGAACAGAACAGAAAGCCTATAAATAAACTCATCCACCTAAAGGCAACTGATCTATGACAAGGGGCCAGAAAACACTAAATGGAAAGAGAAAGCCTCTTCAACAAATGGTGTTGACACAACTGAAACGCTCTCTGCACAAGAATGAAAGGGGATTCATACATCACTGATGTATGAAACAAATTCAAGATGGATCAATGAAAATAGGAACTACACATGTACATATTTCTCACACTAGTATTTTAAATTCATACCATTAGTTAGATTAAGGATATTAACAGAATTATCAAATGTTCCCTGTATGCTGTTCATTTACTTTTCAAGACCATAATAATGCTGACTCTAAAAGCCAAGGAGGAGGGTGCCAACAAACATAGGGACAAGGGAAGAATAAGTGATCTAAAATTGATGGTGAGAAGGGCATAAGATCCTTGGGGGCGGCTCGATCAAGGGCAATGTAGCCGAGAGGAATTATCAAAACTCAAACGAAGGCCAAACATGATGGTGGGACAGGAGGAAAGTAAAAGGAAATAGAGGAAAGAATTGGGAGGCAAAGGACATTTACCAAGGTCTAAATACAGGCATGTATATATGTAAATACTTTTATATATAATGACAGGGGAATAGATCTATGTACACAGATTTATTTATAAAGTATTATGGCAGATGGACATTGGGGTTCCACTCGAGAATTCCCTCAATGCAAAAACAATTTGTTCTACTAACATGCCACTCTGTGATGTTCACCTTCACTGACACAATCGCTGAAGACAAATGTGTGCATAAACAAATGTGGTGAAGAAAGCTGATGGTGCCTGGCTATCAAAAGATATAGCATCTGGGGAAAAAGCTTTAAGATCAGAAAAAAGCGGCCATCTAGCTGAGAAGCAACAAAGCCCACATGGAAGAAGCACACCAGCCTGTGTGATCATCAGGTGTCAATGGGATCAAGTATCAGGCACCAAAGACCCAGAACAAAACAAACAAAGAATCATAGTGGAGACCCAAAGTCCATCAGTAGTCAATTGGACACTCTCTGTCAGAAGAACCACAAGGAAGAGACGAGCCAGTCAGGGTGCGATATAGCACTGACAAAACACACAACCTTTCTCTAGTTCTTCATTGTTTCGTCTGCCCCCCCACTATCATGACCCCAATTCTATCTTACAAATCTGACTAGACCAAAACATGTATACTCATATTGATAAGAGCTCACAACACAGGGAATCCAGAACAGATAAACCCCTCGAGACCAATAAGGGGAGCAGCAATAATAGGGTAAGGGAAGGGGTGGGGTGGGTGGGTCAAACGGGGAACCGATGTATGATGTATGGCCCCCTCCCAGGGGGATGGATAGCAAAGTGGGTGAAAGGAGACAGTGGTCTGTATAAGACATGAAAAAAATAAGAGAGAATAATTTATAAAGTATCAAGGGGACACGGGCGAGGGAGGGTGGGGCAGGGAGGGATAAAAATGAGGTGCTAATGATACCAAGGGCTCAAGTAGAAAGAAAATGTTTTGAAAAAGATGATGACATATGTACAGATGTGTTAGACACAATGGATATGTATGGATTGTGATAAGAGCTCTAAGGGCCCCCAATAAAATAAAAACTTTTTAAAAAACCAAACATAGATATGAATGGATTTTGACTAGCACTTAATTGTGAGCCCTAATCTAAAAACAATGTTTCATGATGTCTCCCTGCTTAATACTTTCTTTCCCTCACAAAGTGAACAGTGAAGGTATAAATGCTAGAGCAAAGTGTACTGAAGAAATCGGATGATGCCCAGCTATCAGAAAGAATAGCATTCGGGGTTTAAAGGTTTGTCTTAAACAAGTAGCCATTTAAGTGCAGTGAACAGTTAAGTCCACAGGAAAGAAACATATCAGTCCCTGTGATCTAAGGATTTCAAATGGGAAAAACCAAAACTAAAACAAGATCAGAGGAGGGAATAGTATGAGAGCTTAAAATCTGAACACCTGGTTTGCAGAAGGCTAAAGATGACAATGAAAACCCAAAATCTATTTGCAGAGTCACCACGTGGATTAAGCCTCTATTGAATTCCCATAGACCATTAAACAGGGATGAAAACAGGCTTGTTGACAAACAGAGTGAATTGAAAAATGGGATTATTACAGATTGTTTTAAATGTAACATCTGATCATTAGGCTTCCCCTTTAGCCCATTTTTTAGCATGTCCTAGTTTTTTCCATTTCTTTTCACTTTCTTTTGGAACAAGATTTTTCTGTGTCATATTTTACTGTGGTTGCTGGTTTTCTACTGACCCCCTTCTTTTTATGTATGATTATCTATGAAATCCAGGATAGGGAAACATATAAAGACAGCAATTAGACAAATGGTTCCTTGAGTTAGGATAGGGATCTTAGGGGGATGTAAGACGAAGATGTTCCAAAATTGATTGTGGCAATGATTGTACTACTATTTTTATTTATGTGAACTAATGATTAATGATATGTGAATCATGTCAATACGTTTTTTTAAGATGACAATATAAAGTTACATATAGATTCAACACAATCTGATAAAAAATTCATACAGCTCTTTATCGCATTGGTTCCCAAATTTATCAGGCTTACCCCCCACCTCACCCTTTTCAGAGAAAAAAAAATTACTCAGCACTTGCTGGCAATGAAAAGTGTTCTACTGTAACACATAATACAGGATAAAGTGTAGGTTTCTGCTTTTACAGCCTCCATGGGTAGTCCCCTTACCCAGGGGGTGGTATCACCCACTTTGGGAAATAATGCTTTATAGAAACACAAAGTCTAATCCTGAAATTTAGCTAAAAGTAATGTTGACAGAGAAGAATAAAGTAGGAGAACTCATACTTC